AGAGTTGCCTTTCCAAGTGGGCCTGGAAGGCAGAACTGAAGCCCAGGGTGGAGGGGCCTCCACCCACCATCTGGAGAGTGTGATCAACACCCAGAGTCTGGATGGCAGGGCCACTGCCTAAATGGTCTCAGAGAACAGAGGATTATTTTTGAGGGTTGAGGGCTAATGTAATACATTCTGCTGACTTGCTTGGTGCCTGTTATCCCCTCTTTCCCTCCAGTTTCTCCCATTTGTAATGGAAATGTCTACCTTGTGCCTGTTCCACCATTGTACTTTGGAAGCAGATAACTTGTATTCTCAATTTCACAGATGAAGAGGAATTTTTGGATTTTGGACTTGGAGTTGAATTAAGACTTTTGCTATGGTATGATGAGGTGAATATGTTTTACATGAGGCAAGGATATAAAGTTTTTGGGGACCTCATACCACCAAGAAAGCAGCGCCAGGAGCAGCGCGTGTCCTTTGGACCTGGGGTTCCTGTGAGGAGAAGCTCCTAAACTAAGGGAAGATTGATGATAAGGACCTTCCCCCAGAGCCGACGGAGAGAGAAAGCCTTCCCCTGGAGCTGGCACCCGGAATTTGGACTTCTAGCCTCCTAAACTGTGAGAGAATAAATTTCTCTTTGTTAAAGGCATCCACTTGTGGTATTTCTGTTATCGCAGCACTAGATAACTAAGACACAAAGTAATTCCCATGGTGAGAGTTTTAAAATGTCCTACAGAGCATACCATACATGTATATAACTGCACAGAAAAAGATATGAAAAGATATAAACCAAAATTGTTCCTGGGAACTCTATGGAGGGGACTGACATTAAAAGTGGTAGTCATAGGAATTTTAGTCTTATTTCTAAAATTCTTTATAAGGAAGATTTATTCATGTATTTACTTATAATATTCTTTATAAGGAAGATTTATTCATGTATTTACTTATACAATTAAAACTTAATTTAAAATAAAATTTTCCACAAATAAGGAGATAATCTGTTCATCTATATCACAGTTAACTATGCATATGGATATTATTAAAAATACTTAGCTAGGTTAGGCTTTTTTATTCTTAGTACAAAGTAGAACCTTACTATATACAGTTTAACTGGAACATTTTTAATAAAATGGGAGCTTGGCTACATTACCTTTTAAAGTTCCTTCCAGCTAAATGATCTTACCTGAAATTATTTTCATATGAATATTCTTATTTTAAAATATAAACTAAATTTAAGGTGTCTGAATGTATATCAGCAGATGGCTACATTGTTTAGATCATATATGACCAATGTGACATGTTCTCAGATGGGATCATGGGCTCTGAAACTAGTGCAGTATGGGAAAAACATGACAGGTAGATAGTGGGAATATGGTTTGCTAGAGTTATCTTAGTTGCTCTCTTAACTTTTTTAGACATTTAACAGAGAATAGTTTACTTAAAGAATGCTTTATTCTCAAAAATCCTGGTTTTCATTTTTATACAAATTCATTGTTCAAAAATAAGAACATTAATAATCAGCTAAATGTTAATTAGTACCAGTCATTTATTAATTTTCTATAATATAACTGAATATAACACAGTTACAAGCAAATTTCTTGCTGAGAAATTTTCAATATGGGGTTTGGGTTCATTTTTACAACAAAGCCCTAATTAGGAATATATATTATGATGTATAATTTTATTCCACATTTGATATTTTTAAGTATTTGTGAAAGAAAGGATGATTTATTTCAGTTTTACACAGAGAACTGGGAAGAGAAAGCCCAAGGTAAAGATTAGTAGTATATCTATGGGCTTCCAAAATAAAGACCTCTTCAAAAAAAGACTAGTTTTTAAACAGAGTCCCTTCATCAAGGAAACAAAAGAGAATAATCCACTTTATCTCCTAAAAATAATGGACTATATGTGGACTGGATGAGAAATATGTGGAAAAACTTAAATTCAAGCTGCATTTGCAATGGTACTTATGTTTTAATATCAGCATTTTTTCAAAAAACTGCATTTGGGCCTTGTATAACATACAAGTTGCATAAAGAGCTTCAGGATGAAAATATAATCATAAAAAATGATTTTAAAATAGAAATTAGTAAAAGTATTTCAAAGTTGGTTGGATGCATTTCAGAAAAAGTTTTCTCTTTGGTTAAAGGAGATTTCAAATAAAAGGTAATACAAAAAATGTCAAAATCTAAGTTGTTTCTTGATTAATCATAATACAGAGCATATCAGCAATTGTATATAATCTATTTTTAGAAAAGTCATTGCAACTGTGATAAGTGTAGAAAAGACATTTAAAATATTTTACTGTAGACAAGTTTAGGCATCTACAGATAAGTTACTAGGTTTGATCCTGTTCTATTTTCACCTTGTACCTCAAGTCTATTAAACTAAACAGTAAATTGTTATCTAAAAATATGTACATCAAATTAAAAATAAATTGGAATTTTGGAAATTGAAGTCTACACAGGCAGCAAAACAACATTTTGGAAAGCCTATCAAGTGGCACAGCATTAGTTTTAAAGGGTCTTAAAGGGGTCTGATAAAAAATTTAAGCACAGATTCTTGTGTTTCCTCTGGACGATAAAGCTACCATTGATAATAATTACATTTGACTAAAATGACATGGTCACAATTTTCCTCACAGCTTAATTCTTTGTGGCAAGTGATATGCTTATAAAATTTACAAAGTGGGGATTTTTCAAACAGTACAAAAAATTTCCACAAGGAAATATAACAAGCTATTTCACAGGAATTCTTCAGCAAATGTGTCCTATCACACTGTGCACTTAAAGAGCTATAAAACTAAAGCTAAAGTTTATAATGCCTATCATTCATCAACAAAAGCAGCTGGCAAATTGTTTAAAGGAAAAAAACCCTGCAAAACACTTTTATTTTTGAAGTAAAAATATCACCAATTTAAGTATTTGATACTGGATTCAATGCATTTTCAGGTTTACAATTAAATTTATAGTCTTCACTAAAAAGCTATTGAAATAAGAGAAAAACTGCACACATGCAGGCAAACTATGATTTTTCTTTTTACTTCATTTCTCATGTAGCTCTGAGCAATGGGATGCTGCTAGTCAATTTCATAAGAGTAAATGGGGCCACACTCGAGGTCAGGATTTATTTGTGAGAGACAGTAATAGAGTGAAAAAGTTCCCAGCTTGGAAATATATCCTCTACTCTTACAAGCTTTTCAGCCTGTAAATCAAAATCCTGTTATACACTAGGATAATATTCATGACAATTCTCTATATTTTATCTTCTTAAAATCAAAGACTCAATTCTAAAGAGTTAATAGAGGAATTACAAAGTAACTCTAGTTTGCATTTCCCATAATAGTAAAATAAAGGTTTTTATTCTAGTCTAGAAATTTGCTTTTTTAAATCTGTGAAAAGCCTCTATGAATCTGCTTAACGTATTTATTTCTTTTCATCTATTCAGTGCCATTGGGCATAACATGTAATGCAGTGCATGTTGATATTTTGCAAAGCACCACATGACTCACTGTACTCTGGTGCACTCTATTAATCCTGTTTGGACAGCTGTGTCCAGGCATTTGTTAGCTGCATTTTAATTGTTCTTTCTTTTTTTTTCTCTTTTTATTTATCTCTATGGCAAACTACTCAGGAATTTAATTTGTTGGTCTCAGAAAGTAAATTTTACCATTAATTTGTTTTCTTTGTATTAAAACTATACTCAGCAACATAAATTTCTTCCATTAGTACATATTAACAACAAATCTTAAATAACAAAGCACAGAAAATTAGTTTCATGAATGTTAGAATGGCTGGGTATCTGTAATATTACAAAAATTATTTGTTGGACTGTCATAGTACAAATGATAACATTTAGCTTCAAATCTGGTTAAAAGTGTGTATTTTTGGCATTTTCAAGATTAGCACACTATAAGCAGACATGAAAACAATAGTAAATCCTATAAAGCAAACACGAAAGAAGTTAAGAACATTAAATAAACAAGTCTGATATTAGCCTGTGGAACAGTGGTCCTTTTTATATTTATACTAAGATTTCACTTTTTATTGAAATATGAAATTCTTTGTAAGAATTATGAAACAACTACAAAGCTTATACTTTCTCAGCACTGCCTGTATCCCTGATGTCCATGAATCTTGAATAAATAATGGAAGTAATATAAGAGCTAAAACAAAAGCAATTCAAAGTTACTAGTGATTTTTGTTAAGAGCAAGTTGTTGAGGTTTAGTGATTGATTTTTCAAATCATTTATGAACACTCAAGTCAAAACCTAAGCCTAAAGAATCTAACATAACTGTCCAATGAAAATTTTTGTCTGAAATAATATTTAGGCAAGAACTAAGAATACAATCTGCAATATTGCTTTATAAAAGATAATAAGGTCAAATAAAGATTTATTCAACTATCTTAATAACAAAGTGGAAATGTATTTTACTTGTAAATGATCACTAAAATTCTTTGCAAATTGAAAAATTAAGAAACAAATAGTAATGACAGGCAAGTAAAACCTACAGGAACAAGTCTGTACTTTAAATCAGTGTGTGCTTTCACAGATCTCACTGCTTTCAAGTTTATTTCATGGACACAAATCAGCTTAAAAATGATTTTTACAAATTATCAATTTTTTAACCACATATTAAATTGTAACTTTTAAAAATATTTCTATAAGAAAAATTAATATTTTCTAGAAAATAAACTTAAAAAAAACAAAAAAACAAAAAATACAGTTGTTTAACAAGCCAGTGAAAAAACGTGCTTCATGTATGACACAGGAATGTCTTCAGGCATTTAAAAAAATAAATGGTCTTTACTTGATAAAATTACTTGTCTTGGTATGGCCCTATATATATGATAGCAAAATGAAGCAGAAATATAAGTATAAAATAATGTGGGAGGAAGCATTATATTTCAAAGTTAGTATTTTGAAAAAGCTTAGAAACTAAAGGAAGACATTCAGTAGAGGTATTTTTACAAAGGTCTGGATTGTAAACGAAAAATTTCTAATTGAAATTTACCTAATGTTCTTGACATCACAGGCAGTGCAGAGCTCAAGACCAAGATTGACACACAATTCCCAATGATCTGTTTGAGAAATCAGAAAGAATACTTGGCAGTTAACGAGCAGGATGATAAATAAAATCCATTCACATTCCAAGAAAATACTGTACATTCTAGTTACCTACAGTACTCTGCCAACCTCTTAATGATACTAAACTTTTTCTATAAACATTTAAAGTTGTATCAGTAAGTTCTAGAAGATATTTACAGCACCTGGCACAAATATAAGGTTACAGAACACTTAAATTACTATACACTTGAGACACGGCACTTTACATTATTGATTGCGGTTGCCAATTTTAAAGAGCTTTGCCTGTCAAGTGAAAAAGAACAAATACATTTAATACTTCTGACTGTATTTTTTAAGTCAGACTACCGTTCACGATTTTTTATATAATCTCTACTTCTAATATGCTTAACTATTATTCTATTTAAATGTGAAAGAGCCAGAAATTCAAAAAACCTAAATTCTAGTAAGTCATTTTCAATGTATCCTATGCTTATTCTTTCATATTAAATAAACCCATTTCCATCCAATTGATTCCGACTCACAGTGACCCTTTAGGACCCAGCAGAACTGCCCCAGAGGGTTTCCAAGGCTGTAAAACTTTACAGAAGCAGAAAGCACATCTTTTTCCTGTTTGGGGACTGGTGGGTTTGAATGCCAATCTATCATTAGCGTTCGAGGACTTAATCACTGTGCCACCAGGGTTCCTTATTCATATTAAACGGAGGAGCTGAAAATACTGATTAAAACTTGTGATCACTTAAATTAGATGCTAAGTATCTCAACTACTTCTTTAAAGAAGTTATAGAGAATTAAATAAGTTTAAATATATATATATATATAATTTCTCCCTTTAGAATAGGCTAAAATATAGAATATATAATAAAAAGAAAACAAGCCAGCATCTCTTATTAATTTTCATTGTCAGCCTGTGGGAATATTTTACAGATTCAGTTGCTACATAAAATAACAGCTTTTGTTATTCTGAAGCCAGTGACATATTATAGAAAGTCAATTTAGCCCCAGGCTACAAAATGTTTCTGAATAGAACTCTTCGGTTTTACTTTAATTATTCAAATTTGAAATACTTTTGTCTCTAATACTTGTAGCAACTAAGTTCTTCAGATTTCAAACAAGCTCCCTGAGATACAGTTAGCACAACCAAAGTTACTCATTAGCAACATGTTTTATTTAGAGGAGAAAAAGTCCTTTCGCTAGCTTTCTATAGCTAGTTAAAAAGCTCTGCAGTTCCATGCGTTTTACAAGTGAATGGACGCCATCCAAATTAAACAGAGCACATCCTTTCCCATTCATTCAGCATTTTGAAAATCTTCCAGTTTGTGTTTATGCAAGTTACAAACAAATACCTATGACTGCAAATGAACCATTCAGGGCAATTACTAAATAAAACAGTCCATTTGTCTTGGAAGGCAAAAGGGAAGCCAGAGTCACCTAAGACTTTACCTTACCTTTGTCATGGTCGTGTCATCCTTTTTGGGAGTAAAGTTTCCAAAAACTCGGAGGCTATAGAAACCGACAACAGAGGACACCATAAGATAGCTGCGAGAATCAAGGAAAAACTCTCCAAAAGAACGCACGTTTTCCTTAAGTTCTCAGCAGTCTCCAGAAAGTCTTAAGGCTCAAAAGAAAAACACAACAAAACAAAAACCCACTTTGAGGGCTTGAGGAAGACTGACCTGTTCTTTTTCTTCTAGGCAAGTGTCTTAGTAAATCACCACTGTCCCAGAAAACTAGACAGAATACTTGTTAAAAGACAGAATGTTTACTTAAAGAAAGGATACAAAATCAAAATGATTTCAAGTGCAGCTCCCACAAAACCAAAAGTAGAAAGAGAGGCATTTCCTATTCCAGGCCCCTGGAAAACAAACAAACAAACAAAAAAAAACAATACTTTTCAGAATTCAATAACACCATTATATTTGGTTTCCCTGAAATTGTTCCCACACAAATATAGGACAGTTGACATTAGAAATGTTAAATACTCTGGAATAACATCTAGACTGTCAAAGGCCAACAAAAGGTGACATTAGGCTGAGTTAATCAATGAATTTAACTACCATGTTAACAATTTAACTCAAAAATTTTTCTCATTTATCTCAAACATAAGTCACTTATCAAAATAATACTATTACAATTACTACTATTATGAAATAGAAGAATTTTTCTTGAGAAAATTAAAAGAAATAGAATAGCACAAAAGGAATAGAAAATATAACTACCTCAACCCTGAGGTAACACACAAAAATTAAATAAAGTATGTCCAAAACATAAACTAACCATAGAAAGAAAGTGAATGTACATAACCTGTTTCTACATTTGAAAATTTCCTTTCCCCAAATCTTCCTTACGAATTCAGTATATTTGAAAAAGAAATAACTCAGCCATAAAGAGAAATGAAGTTCTGCCACATGCTACAGCATAGATGAACCTTAAAAACATTATGCTGAGTGAAATACATCAGACAGAAAGGGATAACTATTGTATGATCCCACTTACATGGAATAACTAGAAAAGACAAATGCACAGATACAAAAGTAGACTGGTGGTTACCAGGGGCTGAGGTTGGAGGGAATGGGGAGTGATTGCTGAATGGACACTGAGTTTCTGTCTGGGATAATGAAAAAAAATTTGGGAAATAGGGGTGATGGTTGCACAACATGGTGTATGTAATTAACGCTACTTAACTGTACACTTAAAAATGGTTAAAATAGCAATTTTTATGCTATATATAATTTGGAAAGCCTGGTGGAGTAGTGGTTAAGAGCTATGTCTGCTAACCAAAAGGTTGGCAGTTTGAATCCACCAGGTGCTCCTTGGAAACTCTATGGGGTAGTTCTGCTCTGTCCTATGGGGTCACTATGAGTCGGAATCGACCGCACAGCAACGGTTTTGTTTTTTTAAAATATA